ATTGAATAGTGTGAGTTGGGACTAAGGTCGGCGGCCATGGTCCTTTTGCAGCCTCTTCCAAACCTTGTCAATGCATCAGTTGGGACTGTATTGCACTGAAAATCACGACATACGCATGTTGCGGAGGACTCAATGGGGCTTGTCTTCTGAGAGTTTTGTTTGATTCTTTTAGGGTTTGGTTTTGCTTGACGTTTCTTTGGGTTGGGCTGTTTGAGTTCCTTTCGACTTGACATGTTCAGATGGGAATGAAGGGGACGAGCAGGGCCACAGGTGGAACGTCAAGAGGCGAGGACCGTCCACAAATCAGTTCGGCCCTTGCGAATCTGGGCCTCTGAAATGCAAAATCCCAAGATCCCGAAGGCAGAGTGGATGGGTGTTGGGTGGGAGCATCTCATTGGAACTATTTGGGTGGATGTCTTTGAACTCCCTCAGGTCATACCCTGGGTGTATGTATGCCTGATTACTGTTCAGCTCCACCTTAAACCGTTAAACCTTTTGAAGATGGACTACTTCCTTACTTCTATATAGCAGACAGTTTGAGTTGTTACGAAGGGCAAAGACCACTACGCCAGTATCTGGGTGGCAATCTAAGGTGATGGTGTCTCACAGATCAGGCGAAACTGAGGATGCTCCTTGGCTCTTGTTTTGTTATCAGGGTTGTGATGTGCCGCAGAGTACAGGGGAGGTGTGACCTATTCACACCCGAAGGTACTCGGTTTTGATGTGCTTGTTGCTTCTCAAGCGCGAAGGAAACCCGCCAGAGCGCCAAAGCTTGACGCCAATAGACGCGGTTGCTCAGTCCAAGAAAGTTCCCTCTGATGGGAAGTGGGGAAAACAACTTGTGACTTATAAGATCGATATTTTTTCTGTTAGAAGTTGTATTGGTTGCCATTTCCATTAGCGACCACGTGAAGCAACCATCGTCCTCAAATCCCCTACTGTACCCGAGGATTGAGAGTCTGTCGCTGTGGGCGCGCAACACTGATGGACTTGTTCTTGGAACAAACATAATATCCGGCATTGATCTCGATATGTGAAGCCCTTGGCCATGCATGCATGCATACATGCAGAAAAGCCAACTCTTGGTCCATTTGCACGGATCCCATTTGCCACTGTACATATTCATCCAAGGTGTGTCATAGGTGAAGGAGTGGCGGTGTCTACTACTTGCTGCAATCAAGTGATTTGGAATTGGGTACTGTTGGCCACTGGTCTTCCAGATCCTACCATGCAGAATCTCCGTCCGATCCTGGCGGCAGTCAGGCAATCTTCCCCTTTGCTTGGTTCTGTGTTGAAAGTTGACTTTCGAAGCCACCAAAACAGGCGATGTGTAAGACTACAACCAATGTCACTCCCTTCAGATCACAGACATGTTGCTTTCCTTTAAAGTTGGGCCAACGTGGGGAGGGTCCTCTCTGCCACATGGCTCTTGAAACATCTTGAAACGATTTGAATCTGAGGGCTTCCGAGAGGCACGCCTCTTAGGTCTTTATTGCGGACCTCTCCGTTGGATTGCGCGCTGGGCAGATCAAGACCGGGGCTCCCTGCAGATCGGAGCGGTGCCTTCACGGCATTGTTTTTTTTCTTCAGGTTGGTTTTGTTGGGCTCCTTTTGCGAGTTTTCGGTGTTTGGCTGTGCATGTTTTGCTTTTGCGGCTTGTTGTCTTTGCGTTTTGCTTTCTGGGATTGGCAGGCCATGGAAGGGCTTGCCGAGTCGGGGTCCGTCGGCCTGGTCCGTGTGTCTTCTGTAGTCCTACCCTGAACCACGGACCAGCACGTAGTTTTAAGCCCATGCCCTGAAAGCATCCGAAATCAATCCAAAATCAACCCTGGCACTGGAAACCCATCCTAAGCCAACCCGAAAACTAGCCTAAAGGAAGACTTACTCTACTTCGAACCCGCCTTCAGCCATTTGACTCGCGTCAGGAACCCTGCAATTACCCGACACCAATCACAAACGAACCCATCCAGAATACATCCTGAATCAGCCCCACACTTTCCCGAACACACACACACACACATCCTGAGTCAAACCTGGATCCTCGATGCAACCTACTTACATCCCGAAACCAGAACTAGTACCACCCGAAAGCACAAGCAACCCGCGCGGAGCCCACGAATCAAGCGGCGACCACCCTTCCACGCGAAACCTAGCCGACACGAATACTATCCCACTCGAAAGCCTAAGCGCAGCTTGATCCAATCCAAAATCAGCCCTATATCGCCCGCAGACTATACCTTGCCCCACATCCTTTATTTATCAGGCATGAACAAGCAGCCCACATTCTGCCAGTAGGTTGCTTTGTTTTTCTTTTGTTTGCAGCAGGATTCCCTTTATAAGCCCTTTTTCATTTGTTGTTGGAGGGGCCTTTCCATTCAAATAAACAAGGGGTGCCTTTTTTCCTTTGCAGATCCACAGGGAGGTTGGCTTGTTTCGAGGAATGCGAAGTACAACCAGCTACTGCGGATCGAGGAGGAGCTTGGTGACCGTGCAGTGTATGCCGCGGCCTCACTTCCCAGCAGTTTGTTTGGCTGTGTAAACTTTTGAGAGTAGCCGGCTGGGGTCGTTTGAAAGCTAAACCATGGAAAACACATGCAGACATGTGAAGGGTTTCCAAGTTCCCAGTATAAATAGACAAGCGGGCAGAGACTTATTGTACCTGCAACACGTGCCTTGTTCTGATCAGTGAGTCGATGACTTTGCACGACATTCATTCGGATTTCAAGTGCAGCGCTCTAAAGCCCCTGTAGCGGAATGTAGTATGCTTGACGCAGTTGTTATTTGAGAACCAATTGTACGTTCTTTGCTGGTTGCCAAAGATTGCGCAAGCTCTCGCGCAGGGCTTTGTTTGCGTTCCATCTGCAGAAGATGGCGAAGTTCGTACTGCTTTTCCTTGGCCGCGACTGCAAGACACGATTAGAAAAGAATCCAATCAGCAAAAGCGCCGCAGAAGCGGCCTGCTGTGCTCAAGCCACTCGTGAAAGCTACCTTTGCAGTCCCAGAAGCTTCGTGGCAGGTTCTGCAAAGGCATAGTAGTTTCGAACAACGCTTATGGAGACCATTGCCAGTAATCAGCAATCTCGTCAGCTTTGGCAGCCTTTGTTTGCCTAACTTACAAGTTGCACGTGCTGTGCTCGGACTGTGACAAGGCTGTAGCATTGTAGATTGCTCCTTGGAAAGCGAGGCATGCATTGTCATGCTGGATTCGCTTCTTGGGATCACTGCTTTCAAACACACATGTCAAACCAGCACAAAGGTACGGGTTCCTTCACGTTCAGTTTGGCTTATGGTACATCACCTGAACTAGAGCTCAGGTTTGTTTTGTTTGTTTGTTTGTGTTTGTTTGTTTGTTCGTTTGTTTGTTTGTTTGTGTGTGTGTGTTAGTGTGCTCATTGCCCGCGTTGCTTCCAGCCAAACTCAAGTCTCGTCCTTGAGTTGCTCGGGGAGATTCGGGATGTGAGCCTTCCCTACCAGCCCAAGACGACGCGGAGCTAAGTAGAAAGCCATGGGAGGCCCAAAGTTAGGCTGTCCCTGTCGAGACTCGTACCATGTACCTGGGCTGATGTTCGCAGGGATCCATGCGGCTTGGTTTTGCGCAATCATTTTTTGCTGGCCCTTGCAATCTGCCGATGTTCCATGCTATGTTGTAGATAATTCTGAGGACAGGAGAATCTAGGTTTGTTTGGTAAGGGGCCTGGTGTCAAGACTAGCGGCTGTCATTTCTCTTAATACACGTATGTAAACAGTTATGATAGCCTAATAAGTAAAGCACTAAATACACAAATGAATAAGTATGTGTGTATTCATTTGGATTGAAGCTCACAGAAGGCCAATGCTTCGAGGTGGGTTTTGGGATTCACAGCTCAAGGCCGGGCTCAACTTCCGGAAGCCCTCGGTGTGAGAGCGAGCGACGTCACGTGGGGGAGAGGAGCTCTCTCCGAGAAACATGGCCACTTTGATTTGCGCAATATCGGAGGGAAAGAGTTAGATCTTCTCTCTGAACCACCTTTATTTGCTCCTTGAAAGAGTGGACAGTACCTCTTTGCGGCAGGGGTGTCTGAAATCCCGATGGCTTTGAGGGGCGTAAAATCTGCGGCGCGAAGAGGTTTCGGAAAGTGTGGTTGGCCCACACGTTGGGCATGATGGTTGCCGTAGCTTTGGATGCGTTTGTTCGGCATTTGTATGGTGCTGAAAGGAGTTGTTCAATCCTGGCTCGGTGTGATATTTGCTTAGAAGTGCGTGGAGAAAGTGAGGATCCCTGCTGAACCAAGGGCAAGGACATTGCCTATGCAGAAAATACGGACGCTTATCGACCGTTGGGGGATAGAGCAATATCTTCGACCATGCGAAAATCGAGCTGATCAGGGTGCGAATCCGGCATGGTTTTACTTGTGATATTGGCGATACTAAGAGGATAACATCAAGAGATAGCTTTGTGAGTATGTGTTTGTCGCGGTGTCCACACACGCCTTTGGCCTTTGAGTACTTGCAATTCGACAGAGTTCTGTGCAGCACATTGTGGCCAGGTTGCGTGTTTGGTGTTAGGAATGCTTGTTGCATGATTTGTTTTGTTTTTCTACTGATTCTCAAGGAACATCTCCTGGTTTGACGGATGGCCTTTTAAGAGCTGCTGAACGTGTGGCGGCTTAAACCCCCTGCAAACAGTACATGGAGCCCCAAAAAGGGATTCCCCGAAACAGAGATTCTTCTACAAATGACGGTTGGTTGAGTTCCATAATTACTAGTTTGCAGGAGAGTAATCCTTAAAAGATTGTCATCACGAGCAGAAAGACCGGTCTAAGCCACTGATGCGTTGGTCGATTGATTGGAACCAGAGGCAGAGGTGAACAAAAGCGGGGCCCAGCCATTTCCCGGAAAACAAAACACCGATGAACCACATCCTTTTTCTATTTGACTCCAACATATACTAAGATCATATCCAATCCGAGGGAGTTTGGGCCATGTTTGAGGCTCCGAGTGTCACCCACCGCAGACCGCAGGGCAAGGCCAACGAGCTGGTCCTCCAGGATGAGGCGAGTTGGTTTTTGTCGGTCAGTTTGGTTTGGATGGCACCGGTTTCACTTTGGTCCTAGTTATTTTACCAGTACTACCTATCTTTTCCGAAACAACTTAGGGATGCTGGAGCTGCTGGTGCTGATATCGATCGTGCGGTGGACATCGGTGTAGCTCTCGTCGTCACCAACGAAAGTAGTTGTGGTTGTCGTCGTGCGTCACCTGCTGACGGTGTGTTGCTTGGTGGGTTTGTTTGCTTCCCAATTGAAGTTGGAAGTGTATGAAGGCTCAAGTTGGTCCTCGTACTTGAATAGAACTCCTTGGAGTGGTAACTCTAGCTTTGGCCTGGTTTTGTTCAAGAGATCCTGCAGGGCGATTGGACCATTGGAAGGCTCCCTTTGTACATGTCCAGGTTTGTTGGAAGGGTGTGTTCATCATGCTAGCATTGTTTTTGCAGGGACTTAAGAGGACCTTGGTTTTCTTGGATCGGCTGAGATGCGACGGCATCGGCTTGTTTGCTTATCGATTTGCTGTCACCTGGTTTGCCGCTCGGGCGAGCCTTCTGTTGAATGGACGGAAGCGATGCACTATATCTTTGCTCACAAGGGCAGCCCTGCAACAAACACCGAACACACCTGTTTGGATACATCAACGAAGAGAGCTTGGTATGTCTGCGTTGCTTTTTCAACGTAAACGATCATGTACGCAAGTCCAGCAAGGGCAAACCCTGTTTGCCGAGCATGGTGAGAGTTGGCATCGTTGAGCTTGGCAAAATGCTTGGGGGAGACCAACAATATTCCTAGCGGGGTCGTATTCGGCGATTTCGCCGATGAATGCACCGTTGTGCAAGGCGGCAGTTCAGACTGCTTCCTGCTTTTCCATGGGCCTGACTCTCAGTGCTTGAACTGAATGCTCACGTTGTCTCGCTCACGTTGGCAACAAGTCACCAACAGGCATGGGTAGAAGAAGCATGTACGAAGATTGCCGTATATATTATATCTCCGCTGCGTGTGTATAATTTATGTATGTCAGTGCGCACGCTTGCGCGCATGCTTCGACTTCTATTCTATCAGGTTGCTCATGCCTTATTGAGCATGTTCAATAGTTGCCTGACTTGTTCGAAATGTATGCTTCTTTGAAGTGCCTGTTTTGTGCATCTTTAAAAATGGACAAGACGCGCGTGGTGGAAGGGGTCAGCATTGAACCTTCCCAAGTTCCGCGTGTCCTCGGCATTCCTTTAAGGGGAGCAACCAATTCGATGAAATGGAGCTTCCAGAGTGTCAGCTTGCGATGCACTGAGCTAGCCTGATATTTCAGCACGGTTCACTAGAAGGCTTCTTGCAGGGGTTCCAAGCACCTGGCTCACAGCAGCTGTTTTTTGCCTGAGAAGCTTACAATCATGCCAGCTAATTGAAACGTGTTCAAGCCGGGAAGCTTGATGACTTGGTTTTCACCAGGAACTTAATATCCGTGAGACACGCCAACGTGTTCGCAAGGCACGGTCGCCTTGCCGCTGGACTTCTCCAGTGACAAAGGGGGCTCAGTCTCCATGGGTGGACCCTTGGACCAGGACAGTCAAGTCCGGCGAGCGAGCGGGCGCTTTGTCGGAGAGTTGACCACCCGGTGACCACCTTCTACCCCCCAACTTGTTGCTGGGTGTACTCTTAAGGTAGACGGATGGCTCCAGAAGGAACCATGCGAATTTCAGCAGGGGCCTCCTGAAGGCCCATTCAGTCTGCCAACCGATTCACGAGCTTGCTGTTGTAGCACATGGCGATTCGGCGACGGTCACATGAAATCGGAGTTCACGGGTTTTGAGAGAAACAGTCATGACAGCCCTGATTGCGCCAGTCTGGACACTTGCTGATTAGAAGCAGCGTGCTCCTCACCGACATGCACGATGGTCGGGTGCTTGGATAGCTGATTCTTTGCACTGGTCACCATGACTCCTCTACGACTTGGTGTATAATGCATGACAACATGTGTATGCATAATATATCCATATGCATATATATATATATGATACATACATAATAGTTGCTATATATATATATTAATATATTTTCTGCAAGCACGGTTTGGTTTATGTTTTATTGGTTCAGTGTGCCGTTGGTCTTTGTGCAGCAGGATAGAGCAGCCGTAAAGCGCATTCCGGCCACGTGAAGTATCCACTCTGCAAGTACTTTGAAACAAGGACTGCTGCCATGTGATTTAGATGGCATCCTTCTAATGCTTTCGAGAAATATATATATATATATATAAGCTGTATATCACATATATATATATACAATATAAGCAATGAGTATATATATATATATATGTATACACTCATATTTATTGTTCATATTGTTCTACATTTTACATGCACATAACTACATATGTGTATGGGTGTATATGAGATGTCTATACATAGAACACATATACAATATTGTGCCCTCCACGGGCATATGTATATATATATACATATCATGCACGCACACACATGGCTGGTATATACGTATCAATAAGCCCTGCAATTGGGGTACTCCTGGTGGTACGACCCCAGGAGTACACTTACGGAGTTCACAAGACTAGGGGTTGACCGAATCAACTCGGTTTGCCGCACTGGAATGATACTTCAACAGATAAACCTATCAGCACACCTGCTGCCTCAGCATCGCTGGCTCAAAGACCACGCCGTTTCCAGGTCACTCGATTTAGGAGGCAGGTGTTGGTTTGCTATTGATCTAATTTGGTGGTTGCATTAAGGGGTGAGGGTTCAGGTGCTTAGGGTTTGGGACTTGCACCCTTCAGGGCATGAAGGCTTCAGGACGGCTGATTCGTGTTTTTCTTTGAGATTTCAGGGGCTGCCTGCTGAATAAAGCTGCAGCTGAGAAGTCGCTATCACTCTTGGCATGGCTGAAATGCGACACAAGAATCTCCGCAGCACATGCTTCTCCCGGCATGCGATGATCTGACAGCAAGGCCGGAAGAAGGTCTTCCTGTCCACGGGCGGCCATGAGCTGCAGCTGAAACTGGCCGTGGTCCTGGGCGGGTGAACCTAGCGAGTGAATAGGCCGTGGGCAGGTTGGCGGACGTTTTGTTTGATAGCCGGCTTCTTGGTTTCATGTTGGTGTCAAAGGAAAGTCTTGCCAGTTTGAGCTGTGACCAGACAAGATGTTTTCACAGATACGCATTGGCCACCTGGTAAGCCTTCTTCACGTTTTCCAGTGTGTGTGTGTGTGTGTGCTCATCCGTAACAACAGCGGCAACAAACAGCTATATCTCCATTTTGAAAGGCTATATATGCATGTTTTTTCCGGAGAGGCTGCAAGTAATCACAACACACCGTCAGCTGTGCGATCAGAAGTTCCCTTGAAGATGAGCTGTGTATTTGTCCAATCCGGCTGCAAGGAATCACAATACATACTTAGCTTTGCGATCACAGGTTCTCTCTGAATACACACACACAGACCTTCAGTTGTTTGTCCCTCAATGCGGTGAATCAAGTGACCTTGAATTGATGGTTCGGATGGGTGGTTTGGGGATTTGAACCTCTGGTTCTAAGGGTAAATTGGAAACCCCTTAACCACCAAACCTGAGATGTGGATAGGTTCTTGCGGTGGTTTGTCAATACTTGCTAGGATCGATTTGCTGCTTGTGCGACTGCGACTTGCGACTCGGAGGATCCAAACGAATTGGAAGGGAAGCTGCGCGAAAAGAGTTCAGCACATAGGTGTCCTTTTTGGTTGTTTTGGCAACAGAATAGATGGCCCTGGTTTACCAGGTGGTTTACTCATCTACCAGGGGCCATCCATTTCCCCCAAAAGGACACCTATGGTTCAGCGCGACTCCCGGGTTCCACCAGACACGTTGGACCCCCTGCCGCCAGGTACGGCCGCTTTTCCCTGGCATCACAGGTCGCCTTCACGGCGCGGGCGCCCGACAGGCGGCTGGTCGCACCGTGGACCCCGCGGCGTGAAAAATTCCCTGTTCAGACAGGGGTCCCTATACCTCCCATTTTGATGGTTTTCAGCATCACCTTGTTTGCCCATTTAAGGTGAGCTTGCCATGAAGGGGGTGATGTTTTCAGGGGAAAAAGAGGGAGCCCTGTTAAGAAGCCTACTTAAAGGGGCATTGTACTTCGTAAGTGGTCAGAAACCATGATTATGACCCACTTAGGAGACTTACATCAAGTACCCTGCCCCTTGAGGATCAAACGTTGGTGGCCATCCCCCTTTCCAAAAGATGGTGCAGTGTTTGGATGGGATAGAGGATCCCCTCTTTGCTTGCTGAATAACCAAAGCAGGGGTTGAAGTGCAAGCTTTACTTTAAAGGTAAACGAGACATAGAATTGAAGGGCCCTTGCATGGTGGCACGAATCATTATACGTCCACATCACAGCGCGTTGTATTTGAAAGTGCAGATGATTGCTGTCCGCATTCCTTCAAATACCATGTGTCTTGCATTCGGTGGTAAACAACGGTCCAGTGTTGTTTTCCTGTGGAGTGTGTTTTATTTGTCATGCTCACTCCGAAAACAAACACACTAGATGCAAAGGCTCCTTCAGCCTTGGATCGGGACGCCGAGACCAACTGCCGCTTCGAGGATGAGGAAGTTATGAGGAAGTTTGGGTGGCATTCTAGAGAGGATGATTCGGCAAGGAAAGTCCATGGATAGTGATTAGCCGAATCCTTGCCATCAAGAGAACATGCAGTACACAGTCCGGCGAGCACTGCGTACAGTTGTACTGTTCTTGACATTGCCAATTTGCAACGCAGCTTGACTTGATGCTTCAACCGTTTTCCAGCTGCCAATCTGAACCAGTGCCCACGCATTGTAATCACAATGTATCTAGCATCCATTGGTTTCTTAGCTCGGGTCAGGGTTTCTGTGGTCGACCCATCCGTTTGACAGCGGCAGACCTCAACAGGGAAGCAAGCCATCAAATGGTAGTTACCACGACGCTTATACTCAACCGCCGAATCCAGAGGCTCGATGAACTCAGCCAATGATGAAATCATGGTTGCCCCTGTGCCGCGGTTTGCGGCTTCCGATTGTTGGTGGCTGAATCAAGCGACCCTCATGGTGTTGATGGTCGAACTTTTGCAGCAGTTGATAGGTCAGGCGGTGCAGAGTATCGTCCATCCACTGTGCCTCGGCGAAAGCTTTGCTTTGACGCAGCCTAAGGTCACCGATGCCAGGGACAGCAGCACCTACCTCTCGCAGGTGCCCGTAGTTTCACGAGTTCGGGAAGCCACTTTGCTTGCCCAGGACAACTTGATATGAACCCGGGCATAAACCCTAGTTGGTCAATTCACCACTCAGGAACCCAACCATCAAGAGGGCCTATGGGCATGGATTCATACACGGGTGCATTCTGACAACCCGCTGTCAATCGACTGGGGGCCTCTTGAATCTTGGGTCTCCTTGCTGTGAGAATCAGCTATGTCTTTTTTGAATTTCCTCTCTGAACGCAGGAACCACCATCGTCAAACGAATTGTGTGGGCAAAATTGTGAGACCAGCACCATTAAACATCCCACCTTCACACATCACAAAGCGCCTGGGGAAGGTCACCTACGGAAACTCTGACTCTATGGCTCAGAGAAACCATGCTGGGGTCTTCCAAAGACCTGCCGGAAGCCAAGTCCACAGTTCAACAGACCACCATTCAACGCAATGTGACTTATTCCAGCGGCCACTCCTAGACCCAAATATGTTGATCATGTTGATCCACAAGGTGTGTGTTTTCACAAGGGCTCGCCTCGGGCGAATCGCCAGATAGAGACCTGGACCATGGATGACGGCTGGGAGCGGGCCTCCCCGGCGATATTTTGGGCGTGCACGATGGAGTGAGACCAGGTGTGCCAGGGTTGAAAGACCTGGTTTGGAGTTGCTCAGCATTGTTTCTGTGTTTTTTTTTGAAGCCAAGAACGAACGAACGAGCACCACGAGGGCAATAGCTTTCCAGTTGCAGGGTGTTGAAGCCGCAGGCGAGTTCAAGTTGCTGGACCAGATTGCGTTCACAAGCTTCAAACATGTTCTTGTTGGTAGCGAGTCGCCCTGAGCAGACCCCATGCGCTGAACTGAGACTGGGATGTATGCCCGAACGCTCGGATGCCTCGATTGCAACTTCCTGCTATGTTTCTCGATCAGGGAGCTGCCAGTTTGAGCTCTGCCCCTACAATTCACTCTGAAACTCAGACACCCCCCAAACAATAGTGAGTAAAGCACAATCAAGCACTCATGGCTTCGCAGATGCTTTCGGTGTGTTCGATATTCTTGGCTGTAAGCAATCTTGAGTGCACCCAGCAGCAATCAAGGTTGAAGCGTAGGGAACTTCAACAAGTCATGGGTTGTTTGTTGCTTCGCCCACCCGGGCAAGCCGGTCAAGCCAGCATATGTAAATACACACACACACAACACCGATTCCCGTTGCTAATGGTCAGTGTGGTCCAACCCTGAAGTGCTCTTCCCAACTCCAATCCAAGCAGTGCCGATGGATCGCAGCCGAAGCCGTCGGCCACTGCCAGATCTACAAGCTCAATGCGATGTCCGAGGACTGGCGCAAAGAGTGGCTGATTCGCTTCCCCTGTCCCTGCTTTGCACAGGGGCCCGTCGCAAGTGCGGAGCAACAGAGGAAAGGTGAGCCACCGTAGGGGCATGCGCCTTGGCTGCCGCGTTGAACTTTGTCTGATGAAGGGTGAGCGCAGTATTTGCCCAATCTGAAGCAAGCTGCATTTTAGTTATGTGCTCCTCGATGCCCGCAGACCCAGTCATGAAATCATTCAATCCGGTTCTAGTGCTGCGAAGCCGCACCTGGTGCCAGTCCACCTCGTCGATGTGTGTCACGCATCCAAACCGCAGACTCTTCATTCGACTTCTAGATTGTTGTGCAACTCCCCCACCTCACGTCCCTTTGGCAAGCAGAGTGTGCCTCGCGAGTACTGGCTGACCTGGCATCACGCCCATCGGGAAAGGACGGAGCCGGGGTTCCAAGGACATGCCAGCGCGTTGTTCTTTTGGTTGGTGGTCAGTTTTCTTCGTCAAGATGGTAACCAAAGATTGGGATTTTCAATCATCCTGTCCTGTGAAATGGGAGAAGCGAGGCAAGCGAGGCCCATATTGCAGGGTAGGGAAAGACTCGAGATTCTTGAGGGGGGGGGGGCACACATTGTAAATAAAGAGTTGCATTCACGACCCCTGCCAGCTGGTTCTGAGCCGTTCAAGTCTGTGGCAGAGAGTGGTTTCAGACCTTTTCAGGTTTTCTTGTTGCATCATCCATTGACCTGGCCCGTTCTCCTTGTGAATGTTCTGCCATGCTTCAACTGAAGCACGTCCGCGATTTGGGCATGTTCTCGACGCACCTCGATGGCGCAAGGGGCTTTTGTAAATTGAATTGGGGCTACGGGACAACCAGTGTGTGTTTGCGAGTGGGCTTTCATTTTCCACGGCGTAGCCTCGCACAGGTGCTGTAATCGAAAAACACGTGGACCTCAAGAGGGCTTCAGCAGAAACAAACCAGCCGTCGCACAGACAGAGGCACTGGCTGTTGCCCGGCTACTGACAAGCACCAGGTGTAGCTGACAGGTTGCCACCCCCGAGTGGGTTGCTCACTGATTTTTTGTCGGCTGCATTTCTGGATTGGGACACTCCAGCTCCTTGGGTAGAAGTCAAGATGTTCTTGGTCCCAGTGCGATCTTCATGGTTTGTGAGCTCTGAAGGGAATGGCAAAATCAAACAATCCTCGTACTTTGGTTCTGATCCTACCTAAGTACCCGGCCGGGCCGAGGTCGGCCTGCCTCCACTTTGGCCTGATGCTGCAGGTGCATCCGACCGCAGACTTGCCCAGGACCGAGATGCAGAACATGAAGCGCGAAAGAAAGCTCAGCTGACAGGAAAAGAAGAATGGGGTGTGTCTATTTTCGAGGGTACCCTTTTGGGGGTGGCTCAAAAAGTGAGACCAGACGGGACACAACCACTGACTGTGGGGCTCCCCTTGTTTGGAGACACCCAATGAGAAATTCCTTTCACCCACAACTCGGTCGCTTCGCTGAATTGAATCCCTGCGACCACGATGGGTTTTGGTTTGTGGGGCTCTGCCTGACGCTGTGGTCGTTCGCAGAGTAATATGACGCTACACTGACCTTCTCGTGCTGAACCTCCTCGCGTTGGTCGGGGGCCTATTAGGTACGAATTCGGCACCGAGAGGACGAAAGGCGGGGATGCAGGCCAGCTGCCTGCACATGTCAGAGTGCCGTGAACGTTTGCCTGCAAACATGACTGTGTGCTGCAAGCGAATGAAGACAAAGTGGGGCCTGCGCTGCCAAAGAAGAAAGAATACCGCCCTTGTGTGGCGGTGGAGCCGGTGGAGAGAAGACAAACAAGGAGACAAGCGACCTAGCGACCGGGCGCCAGCAGGGCTAGTGCAGAAAGACTAGGAGGGCAATGACCTACTGGACAAGGCCAGGCAGCTGGACGCAGCCTGGCTGACGTGTCCGTAACCTTGATTTGCGCGGACGCATGGCGACGTGGTACCTTCTCCAACTCGAACTACGTATGACGCTACATCAACAGATCAACATCTGCTTGACGTCAGCCTTTGCATCACAGCATTTACTTGCATAAATGATTGCGGATGGCTTGCTTGCTTTGTTGCACGTACTCTCCAGCCCAATAAGACAACCTCTTCCCTGAGATGGAAACGGGGTTCGAGCGGCAAGTTCTGTGTGTGTGTGTGTGTGTGCACGATGCATCGAAGCACCGGTGGATTCGCTGTGGTTTTCTGAGAGTTCCGCGTGCTTTTCCATCAAACTACCTTCTCTTAGGTTGGCTCCCCTGTAAACATGAACAGGAGTTGTCTAGTCTTCACTGTTGACGTGTAGCCATGTTTGGCGATCTCAAAAGCACTCTCTGAAGGAATCGATCTTCAATTCGAGGTGCAACGCCCTCATGCAGGATATTTTATCCTGAGGTCTTCCTTTCTTGAGTCATCGAGGCCGACAAGTGTTTGTGGTTCACTACAACAATTCGAGCATCACCGTGAGTATGAACCCAATTAGTTGCAAGGTTGTAAGGTTGATCAGTAGACTATATTACCCCGGAAAAAGTTGTTTTTCTTCCAACGTCCACAGTTGCCAATACTAAATTTTGAATTGTCAAATTCCAAACATATACCAAACTACAGAATTCATGCGAGTTTTCCTGATGACGCCAAGCAGTGTCTCACTTTTTTAGTGTAGAGGACCGAAGAGGAAGAAAACCGGGGGCCTTCTAACAATATCACATGTTTCCCAAGATTCCCGAGGTTTGTTCTTGTTACTGGGAGGACCCATTTTTTTTATTATGGGAAGAGATTCGTCAGCAATCAGGTGGGGGTCGTGGGGTATCAAACCGCGCTGGCCACATGCAGCGTGTTTATGTGTGACATTGGTCATTGCCAAATTCGAGCTACCAGGATGATGGCGTGCCCGGGCAGCACCACCTCTCCAGAGGACGCGCAGCAAAAGTTTGGCGAAAGCATAGATTCCTTTTGAATGAACTTCTGCATTATATTAGACACTATGTCAACACATTGTCTTCCCATCATCATGTTCTAGCCAAGAAATATGTAGCGAAGGAGAGACATCCGCTGTTTGTAAAGCCCTGAGAGTTGTGCTGAGTGGTTGTGGAAGTGAAGCCCAACTGTTGGTTCAAGTAATGCACTGCTAGGTGTCCATTGTTAAGACTAGAAGGCAGACATAAAAGGTTTGAACTCGGCTGAAACCATTGCCATTTGTTTCCATCCAAACTGACCGAGAAGGACGCATGAGTAGATCAGATCCCTTTTTGAAGAAGATTTGCCTATGACCCAAGCCGACTCAACACGTGCATGGCCCACCCAAGCTTTTCAGAGTGTTTGTTCTAGGATGGTTTCTGCTATCACAAGCCACTACCTCCAGTGGCTTCTTATGTACTGTCTTTCTTTGTTTTGTGCGTGCATATCCCGTGAACTCCCTCTAGCTTCGGTTGGGGGTGGACACCATAAACAAAGACTCTGGAAAAGCTTGGGGACCATGGAGTTGCCGACATGAATCGCCGCATTCTTGCTATCCGGGCCAGGACATGTTTCCGGCCTCCCTGGACTTGAGTGCCAATGCGGCCTTCAAGTTCCTCCCAGCCGCATTCGGTCGTTTTGGTAGAGAACACGGGGGACTGGGTTTGTCTCAAAAAGCGCCACCCCCTCCAACCCCCGCCCACTTCATTCCTGTCCTGAGAGCTGAAAGCGTTCCTCTTCCAGCCTGAACTTGTGTCAAATGACAAACACCGGCGCAAAGCAAGGGCTAAGCGACTGAATTGATGGCGAGCTCTGAGCACCTGTGGCACAGCCTCTGTTCTTTCAGGCCGACCAAGCAATCTAGCATGTATTTGTTGGAGCCCTGCTTACTTAAGCTTCTGGATTGCCAGCTAACAGAAGCCTTCAAAAGACTGCCATTTGTTAAGTGCCATCAACGGCATACTGAAGTGTCAAAAGTTAAAAGAACGGGTGCGCTGGAGTTCTACCTGCCGGTTAGATTCCATTTGGTGTTGAAGGGTGGATGGATGATATTTTCGCTCTGAGCTTGCAATGGGAACGCGGAATAAAGCCCGTCCCATTTGCAGAGTGCCATTCCCAAAAGGGCAGGCGCCTTGAATGTGCATCTCCTCCGGTGTTGCTTTATGTGAGGTACAGCAAGCCCCTGGAGTATTTGTCCCAAGAGCAGCGAGGAGTGCTGGGGGAGCGCAGCTTAAGACTCAGCTCTGGACCCACTTTCATGGATGAAGAGTTGCGTTTATGCCTACTTGCTGAAGCATGACTGGCCAAGCACAGGCCATTTGAGACGGGAGTGGGTGCAAGACTTACCTTGAGACATCCCGATCTCACGTGGCCAGAGTCGAGATGATTGAATCAAAGGCAGCACTGCACATGCTTGATTTTTTTGGCATGCCCTTCATTTGCCGGCCGCCGAACACTGGTGTGGGCCTGTCTCGAAGGGGACCCCATTGGGTATGTTTGTTTCTTGCGGGCTTCCCGTTCGGACATCAACTGACTCGTTGCTTGTCGGCACCTTTGAGGTGTGTCCATATGTTGACCCCAGATTAGTCAACCAACCTGTTCATATAAAAAAAAGGGGAAGAAGGCCCTTCAAACGTGATGAATCCCCACTAAACCCAGGGACACCCCGTATGAATAAACTGCACAACATTTCCAACCTAAAAGCATCAAACTTGCCGGCAGACCACACCACCTCTCCCCCCCCGATGAAACCCAACCCCCGAAGCGGCCGGCCAGTCCTGCGTGCCACACGCAGTCGAACCAGAGGCTACGGACAGCCATACGATCGATGGAGTGCTGCAAGCATTCATTTGGAAAAGCGACCATGGGGCACGGGCAAGGCCCTGAGGCCCGCAGCACAGACCACTTCTCCGTATCCCATCGGGAAGCAAAAAACACAGACACCTCACGAGGAGCAAATGGACGCCACAGAGGCTAAGCGTTGCAAGCCTGATATCCGCACCATGCCGGAGATCCACCAACTGGATGTGTCCCACACAAGCTGTCTCAATTTAATGCTAATGCCGCCCTGGTTGTGGACGCAAAGGCCAACAAGACCAGGGTTCATTTATCCAGGGTCAACATTAATGAGCAGATCGTCGAAGCTGGACAGGATTCCTGTCAAAGACCCGCATCTCGCTCTCCACGCCTTCATGGGTTGGAGTGGAGGCACGGCTAGAAACATGGCTTCGGAGTGGAGCAGTCGGGGGTACCTGGCTTCAAAAGGATGCTCGTGCTGGTTCCCTAAAGAAGATTGCGAGTGAACGAGTCGAAAAGTGTAGTCAAGAAGTGTCCCTCATCAGGTTCTTCCGAGCCCCGTGCCATGGTTTAGAAGTCCAATTATTGGGATGGGACGGGCAGAGGCCAAAGAATCTGCCGCGCGTTCATTGGAAGGGGGGGTCCAACACATGCTTGCCAGCTGAAAGTTCCCTTTCATGGATGGGTGGCCAAGACATGTTTTTATTTCAGCAGAGAAATCTTTCATGTGTGCATCAAAAACCCGGCATGGTCATGTAGTGGCCTGCCTATGAAGGCTGTTCCTGTGCACGAAGGGTGTTACTTGAAATGTGGAGGAATGCCTTGAACATCCTTCAAGCGAACAGGTTTTGCTTGTGACATGAAGGTGCACCGAAGACAGGTGCACCGAAGCATGGATGCAGTGTACTCTCAACTTCGGATTCATGCGGATGGCCCCGGATGACTATGCTAAGTCACTAGCCAGCTGGCTCCCTTGAAATAGATCGATGAATCTGGAAGATTCGTTTGCTCTGAAGTTACTGCGAAGAAGCATGCTGCGCAATTTCCGCAGCCACATGTGCCGCGGCCAGCACTTCTGCAGGTTCCTGTAGTTGAAACTCCAGTCCCAGCAATCCATATAGATATTTGGGTTGCCTTTCTGTTTCATCCACACAATTGGAGGAAGGTTAAGGCGCCACAGCGGTGGCTTGCGTGCCACTCGCGCACAATGGCGGGGACCAAAACGGGCAGCGGTCATGCAGGTGGGCTTCAACTTCTTCACCTCCCACGCGGAGATGGACGTGGCCCCCTCACAGGACCCTGTCGGGGTTGGGGACCCTCGGGATCCTCGGCTCGGGACATCATGGGGACAGGGGTCCCGAGCTGTTTCCCTTTGTGGCGTTTTTGTTTCTTCTTCTTTTAAACATCACCTTTCCGGCCCACGAAAGGTGCGCGCTTTTTGGTGGGGCTGATGTTTTAAGGGGCAATAAAGGAGCCCTGTGCAGAGTCCAAGCCGTTTTGGGCATGTTCCGTGATACTGGAGATTCATCGCCAGGTGTGTGCACAATGTAGCAGTGTTTGCCCACGTCGAGCACACAGGCTTTCTTGCTGGGTTCAAAGGGCAGAATCGAGAATCAACACTATAATACAATTTGAAGGACATTTCAAGGGAGCAAACCCATCCAAACATAAAACCAAATAAGTTGCGGTGTATTACACAGTTTGCCTTGTTTCCCTAGTTTGGGGCAACGCGCCCGTTACATGCATAATTGTGGTCGAACCCAGAATTCTGTCGAATCGTTGCAGGAGAACCTTTTGGCTGTTTTGCCGCTTCATTCATATGCGTCCGACACAACTTTCAACTCTTTGATGGTGTTGCGTATTGCGACCTTTGCTGTAGCCCTTGCGAAATCTTTGATAGCAGTTCAGCGCCCTCTTTTCACCGCTGGAAGTCCCACCCTTTCGATATGATGCTGGTTCTCCCATCGTTGGCCTTCATGGCAGGGGGACCTCAATGTTGACCCCTGATTTGTATCGTGCGGGTTATTCCTCGCGACCCGCCCCCAAACACTCCCCACCCCCTCCCCAACCCCCCTCCCCAACCCCCTCAATTCCCCTCAACCCCCTCAACCCCCTCAACCCCCCTCAACCCCCTCAACCCCCCTCAACCCCCCAACCCCCCAAACCCCCCCAACCCCCCCAACCCCCCCAACCCCCCCCCCCCCCCAACCCCCCCAACCCCCCCAACCCCCCCCAACCCCCAACCCCCCAACCCCCCAACCCCCAACCCCCCAACCCCCCAACCCCCCAACCCCCAACCCCCCCACCCCCCCAACCCCCCCAACCCCCCCAACCCCCACGGCTTGACAAACCTTTAGCTGCCTTGCGCCAGGCGCCCTCCACTTCGCACCCATTGATGGTCAGCGTTCTGGAGCGGGGAGTTGGGAAGGGCCGCAAGCAAGAGAGTTTGAGGATTGGGTCATCAAAGATTCGGCATAGGAAAACACATGTGGAATCTTCTGGGCATAGAACTTGGAAAAACAGGGTGATAGGGAGTTGCTCCGACAACCTGCCCATTCAATAATTTCTGTTGCTCTGCCCAGTAGTTGGGGGAAAGGCAACTACTCCAAAATGCTGAAACTGTTAGACTAAGACAAACACGGCAATCTGGTAAACACTGCGCAGCTTGTGGTGACCACATAGTTCGTATTAGCTGCTTCGGAGATCCGCTGACATGGTCAGCTTTTGCTTCTAAACCTTGGAGTTTTGCGCGTTTCCACTCTGACAGTCGCATGTTTAGGCAGCGTTAGGAGATGACCTGTAGACAGGCTTGAAAGAGGAGGTGCGTATTGCACTGGTCAGAGTCGTGTCTGTTTCTGAGACGTGCTGAGCTGATTGTATTTTGTTTGGCTGTAAAGCCAGCGTGCCGAACCTTACCCCAGACAACCACTTGCACGGTGCGCATTGCGTTTGCTTAGGTCAGGCACTCTCAGCAGACAACACCAAGATATTCAAGTGCAGTTTGCATTAAAGGCTGTCTGAAGGACGAGTTCCAGCCCTCTCTGTGTCAGAGTAACAGGCTAGGTGCGAATCTCGTCAAGGGGTTCTTCATATCGTTTCCTGCGAAGGTCTTTTTAGATGGTGAAGGGATTCAACGGTAGAACCAAACACAGCTTCCTGGTGCTCAGCAGGGAATGAGGGAATAACCCATGTAAACCATCCTCTGGTCCCTGCGCAAGAAGCGGCGTGCTAGGAGCCGCTGCTGTCTAGGCTGTACGCTTTATGCGTCTGTCCGGGCATTGGTGAGGTCGTTGCTTCTTGCACGGGGTAGCCAGTCCCAAGGACCTAGAACTCCAACCCTAGTGCCCCCAGGCTGCAGTGCCCGAACAGCCACGTATCCATCCGTCCATCCATCCATCCATGCATCCATGCATCCATGCATCCATCCATGCATCCATGCATCCATCCATCCATCTAAACCATCCATCCATCTAATCCATCCCTTGTGGTTTCCTTTAAGAGGACCCTGGGTTGATTCCCTCTTTCCCTTTCTGAGCACCACCAAACGCAAGGTTCTCTATCTTCGGGCACATTGAACTCAAAGCGCGAAGAGCCTTGCCAAGTCCAGCCGGGTCGCTTGCTTTCCAGGAGCCAGCGGGCAGCCCCGAGAGCGTGCTGAATGCGAAGCTGGTTGCAGGCGACAGACGGTCCTTTGGCACCTTTGGACCTATTAGGAGGTACGAGGCCAAGGAGGGGTCAACATACATCCTCACAAGGCAGATCAATCTATCGGAGTGCGGCCAGGGTGCCTTTCACCGAGAAAGCTGTGATTGGATTGGCTCGTTTGTGTTTGTGCGCGGTTGATCCATTCTCAAATCGTGAGTCCATAATTTGAAAAGGAGTCTAGGCACACTTGTAGCAAGCGTTTTCATTTTTTTGTTAAACGAACACATAGTCCATCAGCTAATAAAAAGGGAATGAGCTGAAGCACCTGCCTCGGGTCCGGTCTCAGCTACGGTCCGAGGGGCGCAGTGCCCTTGGATTCTGGAGCAGGTGTTGCCTTAGACATTAAATAAACCAACCGAAACACCCTTCTTGGTAGATGTTTTGACATGGCCGCTGATCAAGTGAGAGGTGCATCATGCATCACACACCCTACGTCTGGAATCATGATCAACGACCACAGTCATATTTACGTCAGATCAAGCAAAATGGGATGGGGGGGTTTTCATCAGATGCATTCCCCTACAGTGGATCATTTGCCTCTGAAAACCGCATTGTTTGGAGTTATTTGTAAATCAGCAGTGGGCATTTTCGAACATCTTTGTAGCTGTAGCATTGCCAGTCAGGAAAGAACGGCTCACCGCGGTGAGAGGGGATATGTAAACTCTCTCAGACAGTGTTCACGGATATGAGCCGTGGTCAAGATTCATCATAGCCCACTACAGAATTCTGCACCAGTTGGTAGGGGGTTCACCCCAGTATTCATAGGGTGTTTGTCTTCCCGAACTGGCGCCAAGTGGGTTTTGTGCATCCACGCAATGTAGAGGATGACACTCGCACTCAAGAAATCCGCTCACAAACTCCAAGTTCACATCAACGTGAATGGGGCTGCACCATCTAAGTATCGACGCGCAATTCAGTCCCTGCCGTAGGTGCTGTGCTTCCTGCCGGGGATTACCTGATCCGCGCCTGAGACTCAGGTTTGAGGCGCAGTGCAAGGAACCAGACCCTGGTATTGGTTGAGGGCAAGCCAACAGATGCTTCAAGTTCATGTCAGTTTGTTTGTGTGTTCTAAACTTTGCAAAACATAAATAGACCTGGCAAAACATGCGAGCCTTCTGTGGAAAGATGAGTTGGGGCAAATCGCAGCCGTCTTGGGTAAGATAGCTTCAGGCGCGATGAAGGCAGTTCTTGTGACTCGTGCACTCCCACTGAATGTTAGTTCGCCAGAAAAAGAGATGCACAGAAGACCTCAAACTGGAGGCTTGCAAAAGTTCCGAAGATTGGCTTGGGGTTGGAGCCAACCTAGAGATGTTGGAGCCTGCAACATGCGTCGAACATTCGTTCTGAAGCCAAGGCGATGAGAAGAGTGACATTTACAATTTGCCACTATCAGAACTTTGTCTCTTCGTGTTGCCGGGGCTTCCCATGTTGTGAGTGCTTCAAGAACCGAACTCTCTTACAAAGGCAGAGGGAGTAAAGGCTCCTTGAACCCCGCACGTTGCTCTTGACCGTGGTGTTGGTCAAGTAGAACGGGTGTCGCGTTTTGCAGCACATGCTCTAGAACAGTTTGACAATCACTACTTTCTCAGACCTTATATTACTGCTGGCAAGAGTGGGCACTTGATTGCACACGCAGAATGTAACATGGCTTTTGCTTGTTGTTGAAAACCCGGAAGATACTTGATATCCCTCCAGCGTAAACAACTGGGAGCCCCCGATCAGTTGTAGGTAGTGGGTTGCGGGCCATCTGCTTTGAGTCAACGCACGTTTCGCCTGGGTTTGAGGTGGCAGACGACCACTACAAAGACCAGCTGGGAAACCAGAGGTTGCCAGGAGCCGAGGAGAGAGCACGCAGACGAGTTGGTCATGAAATGTGGCCCCTCAAAGCAATCCCAAAAAGGGTATTCAGCAATCACAAAAACACACACCCACACATCCACAATATGTCGTGTGGGCAGGAGACTCCACGGCACAATGTTGTTGAGAGGGGCTCGGTGCTAAGAAGTTGGTTGCGTTTCTCACTTCACTCGCTTGTTGTTCCTTAAAGGCTGTTTGCGGATAGCAGCACTACTTGTGGGTCGGGGCCCCTTGTGTGGAGACAGGCTTTGCTAGATGAAGGATTTGTAGGACACAGTTCCGAGAAAACCACGAGGACCCCCGTGTGGAGGGTCACTCAGACTGACATGGGGTTGGGATCAAATTGGCTGGGGCAAAGTAGGCTGAGTTTCTTCATGTCTCCCGACACTATGTGTTCAAGGCAAGATTGGCCAAAATTCATGCCAGCCACTGGCATGTAGATTCTTGCAGCATGTATTTGTCGCATCAAAGAATGTCACGCGTGCTCGGGACCTGATCAGCTGCCCGGCTTGCTAATTACTGTAGCTTCTATCAAATCAGGAACTGGGGACGCCGACTGAACGCCCAGGTGCTTTCCCTTCTCCTTTGACGTTCTTGTGGTGCCTGAGTCTACCAATCCGCCCAGCGTTCTTTCGGCCTGGGTCTCAGCTTGAGACACTGGCCACCCTTGGTTTCTAGAAGACACGGGCATCCGTTTCGGATCACAGAGGGAACCATGGAAGGAAGCCAGATTCAAACCACATAGTATATATATATATGTATAATATATATATATATGTGTATATACTACATAGATACACATATGTATTACTATATGTATATGTCTCATAACGATCATTTTCAGTTGTCTTTTTCAACATGAGGGGCTTGCCACATTCTCGCCTCAGGGCTGTCAGCAGTATAGTTTTTTGCTTCCGGTGGTTGGCTTCATGCCATTCTGTCCCCTTCGAAAATAGGCTTCATAAACCATGAGCCGAATTCCTGGCCAAATCACAAGCCAATTGGTTGGCTTACGCACACACACACACACACACACACACGTGTGGCAGCGGCAGATTGCGCGTTTGCTCCGTGCCTGCATCACTCTGGCAACAATGCATAGCACGGTGACCTTCCCAGAAGTAGAAGCAGATTGTGGACCGCACGGTTTCGGAAACAAGACCATGACATGATCGATGTTGTTTTCCCCAGTTAGTGTTCGGCTCGTTTGAAAGGTTTTGTCATGTTTCGCCTGGAATTTCAGGCGTGATCTGGCGGTTCCAAATTGAACTTCTAGAGGCTGTGGTGGGAACGATCTGAACAGTGCATTGAGAGGGAGTTGTAGATATTGCCAAGAAGTTGTGGTTTGGAATTGCTTCAAATGAGGTGACTTGAGAAGCTACAGTGGATCTGCAAGCAAACCCTTAATCTTCAGCGGAGGTTGCGTAGAATGCTGATTTCAACGCCAAGTTAAGTTTCGATATTCACACATTGAAGGTTGAGCAACATCGAACCGTTCAGCCAGCTGTCGTATGCTGGCCAGCGTAAGACACCCTAAAGTCACGTCAATGCCCCTTTCCTTGTTATTTTCACAGCTTGGACGTGGAAGGGGAAGCGGACACGTGTGCAACATGACGCAACACATAAGCCGATCGCCTGGCGGGCAAAGATGCAACGAATCCTGAATAGGTCGCCGCTTCCCTTGCCTCATTTGCCAAAGCCAGACTCAAAGGGGCAGCGTGCAACCCACTTGGTTGTAGGTCTCCGAAGTGGGTTATGGCCAGGCTTACCAACCACTTACTAAGTACCCTGCCCCTTTCAGTAGAGTTCATGATTTGTTTTGCCTTTGAGCTGATGCTTAGGTGAACCCTCTACCTTCTGTGCCTCTGATACGGGGAGTTGATCTCGTGCGGAGCCAATGACATCTCGGCAGATTGTCACGGGCTTTGCCTATCCGTTCCCTAAGAAGTAAGAGTCCCCTCTTCCCCCCTCAATATTATTGATGCGTCAAGATTCTTTTCCGGAAGTTCCAAAATCCCCCCAAGACTGAATTCACCCGCAAAACGGATGGTTCGCCCACCGCTACACTGGCCCCCCTCTCTGGCAGGTTTGAGGGTTTCAGATTTCAGGTCTGGTTCAATTGTGAGGGCTTAGGGTTTGGGATTTCATTTTAGGGACGGTTCAGCTTTTCAGGTTTTAAGGCTTAGGGTTCGGGATGTTGGGGCTTAAGGCTAAGGAGTTGAGTGGTTTGTAGAAGCGGGGAAAGGGAAAAGGCTTCCATACCACAACAACGGGAAGGGAAAGTCGAGCAGAGTGGGAGTTTTGAGTTTTGAGCCGTAAAGAAAGCAGTTTTTGTTTGCAGAGCGCGAACTCCTGAGTTCGAACGGGGCCCCGGGAAGAAAAGCCCCCCTCAAAACATTGGCCCTGCGCAGTGATTCGGCATGTCTTCGTGGGCGCTTGCTTTGGGTTGCTAGCGCCCACCATCAGTTCTGGCCGGTAATCTAGAATACGCCAAGTCTAAGTAAAAACCAAACCCGCGATCCCCAAATCCAGCCACGTTAATATGAGGGGGGATCGCAAAGTCAATTTGTGGTTTTGTTCCGGCACAGCTGGGAAGCCTTCAACTGTTTGGTCTAACATTGAACTGAGATGAATGACTGCTGGTCGATTTATTTCGGGTGTCCCGTCTTAGAGGCGCTCCTTTTCCCTTTTGGGGACCCCCCCCCCCCCGCCAGGTTGATTCGTCCAAACTTGACATTCCTCTGAGGCTGGCTGGCGCTGAGTCCCTTCGAGCAAGCTTCCCCACCACATTCCAGCGACTACTACTGCAAAAACGCGGCCGTCAATCACCATGCGGCTAGGACCAATCCCAATTTGAGCTGTGAGAGCCACCTGTTCTTATGGCGTTTCCTTTGCTTCCTTGAATCAAAGCAACTTGACGCCGGGTAGTGGCAACTTGCCCCATCTAGAGACGCGCTCTTTGCAAGAAAGCAAATAAAGACGCCTGACCTGCTACTATCATCTTCTAGTCAAAGCAGCCAGACAATCTGACGTGCTGTGGATGGACGAAATCCATTTCGCAGCACTTTGAACCCATGGCTTTCAACCACAGCGTTGGTTAATATTTACGCGGGAAGCGAGTCAGACACCCGGGCTTCTGCCATCAGCATGGTCCAGTTGGTGGCCCAGGTCCTCACCGTGCGCTTTTCCGAGCCACCCAAGGGCAGCATCGAGGACCCGCGTCAAAGTATGGGGCGCAAAAGCGGGGGGAGGGAGGGAGGGTAGGGTTTCCTACCCAGTTGGGCGCTTCTCAAAAATGAGTTGGACTTTGATTTCCTTGAGGCTTTGCCTTAGGACCATCCAAAACGCGAACAGATCGAGTTGGTGGCAGGGTTCCTTTTTGCTGCAATTGGTACTCAGCTTAAAATGCTCAACCTACTGCACCTGATGGCTACCGAGAAACTAGGCCTACGGACTTAGCAGCTGAATGATTGCCTCGAACGTTGAAGGCCAGATCGGCATGCAGTACACACACGGTAAACGCGCAGAACTGTGGGCTAGGTTGTTGCATTCGTTATTGTCAAGCAGTCTCGCCAGAGGGTGAAGAGATCTATCCCGTTATACAAGGCACTTTAAGTCTTTGAAGAACTGTAATTTATTCATATGCTGCGTAACGCATTTCCTCACGGAGAAGGTGAGGAACCAATGTTGTTTTTCTTTTTCTGCAGAAAGCCGATGGTACTCTGAAGGCTGCCATTAAGGATGCTCTGTGGTGAATTTTCGAAATTGCGCTTCCTAGTTTCATGAGACGATTTGATGAATTTGCGGAAGCCGTCATTCTTAGTGCAATGTGACGTGGAGCTGTGTGTTCAAATCATTCCAGGGAAGCAGCACTAAGAGCGACCTATAGATTGAGGCAGACGCGGTCAGATAGAAGGGGCCCAAAACGGCATGTGTGGGCACGAATGTTGATGCAACTTCATTTTCTATCTCTAGCGGAAGGTTTGCGGAACTTTTTTTTTGTTGAGCGCATTGTTGATGTGTTCAGCGTTGTTTCAAGCATTTTACTGGACTACTGGGCTGCGAGCTCGTTGTTGTTTGTTCCTTTCTGGACTGCACTACTGTGGCATGTGGAACTTATTTATTCGAAGCAAGCCCTTTCAATATCACTTTTTGGGAGACTGTGCGCTCACGTAAGTTGGTATGCTGCTCCAGCATGCTTGGCACTCCAGGCAAACGATTAGCGTCAACTGCATAGCACTGGCGTGTTCACTCAAATATGACATGCAGACGTTGAACTTGGCTAGCGGAAGCATGAGCATCCGGACAGTTTTGGGCGCAAGCTTTGCTGAAGGTTCCTGCTGACCACTTCCCCATTTCCAAGACCAACCAGCCACCGTCGGCCACACAACGCCTTCACAACACTTTCACAACACCTTCACCACAGAGGTGCCTTGGCAACTTGCATGTAACATGCACACACACACACACTGAGTGAAGCGATCGAAGCGTTGCCCGCGGAAGCAGTCCCACAGGCTGCTTGAACATGTCGTGGAAGATACCCCATGCAGAAGGTTTCAGAGTAGAGTGGAATCATTTCCCATGTTTACCAAGAACTTAGACTACTCACATGTTTCTTGACAGCGATGGGACTTTCATCCGTAGCGGTTCGGGTATGTCTCAGTTGGTTCGGCTTTTGCAGGAAGTCACCAGCAAGTTCTCTCTGGGTGGAGTACAGGCGACAACCGGCGGATCCATGAAAAAGTTCGAGAGCAGCTTGGCAACACATGCAAGGCAAGAGAGGTTAAAAGGTGTTATGACGGTGGTGCCGATATGTAAAGCTGCTGTTCCAGGTCCAATCCATGCATGCTTAATGATTCGACATACTGTCGACGCAGCCGAACATGTGCCATCCCTTGTGCTCCTTTGTTTTTATCCTTTTGTCGTTGGTGGTACGTTTGCAATAATTCAAGCTCATGAGAGGACCTCTGAAGCGATCACGTGAGTCACTCGCGAAATTATTGTTAGTCTGTCAGCTTGGCGATTACATGGGGATGGGGAACCACCTGAATTCCCCACAACAGCCAGGGGACGCGCAATCTTCCGTGTGCTGAGGAAACGAGTACTGTAAAGCTGTCCGTTGCTCAAGCCAGAGGTGGAGTAATAGTTCGAAGTGTTGTTGCCTGAGGATCGCACTGCGTTTCATAATGATTCATCATGATTATTCGAAGATGCACTGATGATTCTGCGGGTGCTTTCCGTCGTAATGCCAACTTCGGATAAATCCAGAGGACTGCACTAGTCAGGGTGGTCCCCCTTTGAATACACTGTTCTTTTTAGGGGATGTCCTTTATAAGTTGGTCTTCCCAAACAATCCGAACTTGAAAGCTCGAGACTCTGAGGCACATACACCAGCGCCAACCGCAAGGCTGTTGTGCAGACATCAGCCGCTCACTCAGTCTGAGGCCAACTCACAAGGGGAGTCGGACTAAACAAGTTAACGTTTCAGGCTTTTGAACCACGAATCGATTTCTAGTTTTGCACGTGGAGCAGGGTAGGTATATACGCCGTTATGCACGACAAGTTGCACGTACTATGGCAACTGTTTGCCTTCAGCAGGACATTTGCTTCAGCAAGCTGGTGCAGTATGCGGCAGAGCCAACAGACTTTTGAGAAGATACCTCTCGGTCTTTTCTGCGCCATGCTCTTGTTTGAACAGCACGGTCCGTTTGCTAGAGCTGTTGGGAAAGCACGTTTATGGGTTAAACCATCGTTTGTGCCGTGTTAACAAGTTGGTGACTCGGCCCTGCACGTGGCATGCAGACGTGCCAAACTACCCAGATTGACATCGTCACTGTCGCTGCAAAGGTATTGTTGTTCAAGCAGTGCAACGCGTGTCATGCTTGGTCAACGAATCCATTAGTCTATGATCAAACTGGAAAAAAAAGCCGGGGCATTCAACAATTTGTATGTGCCCATCGCGGCAATCACATATTTTGACCATGGCTCGTATGCCACTTTTCTTAAACACAGCCGACCATGGAATCCCATAGTGTGTTCATGTTTGTAGTTTCTTTTTGAAGGAGCCAGCCGCACCAAACTATTTAACCTTTCGCAGTCCCGCAGCAGATGTATGTTTTGCCTTGTACTTGTAGTTTTATGGCTTTTGTGGACCGGTTGGAAGTGCATGAAGTCGACACCAGGCCTGTGGCATGCCTTTGGCATTGTCAAGGCAGGCAAAGTTGCGTGTGTGTATGTGCCGTTTGTGCAGGAAGCCAGCAACACAATCTCAGATCTTCCATTCCCATGGTGATCGAAGGGGAAACACACGTTTGAGCAAATATTTGGCACGCAGGCTGGCACGGTGCAAGGAGAGATATTGACGCCGTCACGTTGACACCTTGCGAGTCGACAAGGCCTTAGGGGAGCAGGCCTGAGTACGTAACTGCCCTGAATGTGAAGTGACCGTTTTTTGCAGATTTGCTCCCCATCCAAACAGGGCTTCCGATGAAGGAAAAAGGAACTCATCCGACCAAATTCAACGTCCGGCGGGTTTTTGATGGCTCACGCGATCAGCCTCTTGGCTGCGTTGCATGCCGTTTGGCAGAACTTGAGGTCACGGAGGGCGAGAAGGTGTGGGTGCTGGCTTTCAGCGGACAGGCCTCGGATGGCGAGAAAACGTACTCGAAGCAACCATTGCATGCGGAGAAAGATTTCCCCCAGAACTTTGGAGCTGACTTGCCATGTGTCAAGTGCTGTTGAGCACATGGTAGAATAACATGCGTAGCTTTTGATATGATATATGTTTGAATTGAGGTGCGTGTGTGTGTGTGTGAACCGTCCTGGAACACGGACGTGAAGCAGGGGAGTGCGGCATGACTGAGGGACCGCACTCAACGAAGCTACCTCAGTCATGGGATATCGGATCTGATCAATCCGACGTACCTGCCTATTTCCTTTTGCGGTTTCTGTTTGTCGCTGTTGCTTCCTGTTCGGTGTCGACGTTGTGACCTGTTGATTTGCATTTGCATTCGAGCATTTTTACTGACTGCGGTTTTCATCTCGGCTAGTGAAGCCTCTCGAGATAAGTGTGTTTACCCACGGCCTGTCCGACATGGCGCTGTGGGCTGGACTCGCCATATGCGGGAGCCCCCTGCAAGGGGATGACGTTCAAAAGTTCACGTTCAGTTCAACCTCGCACTGCACTGCCTGCCTTTTGAACAAGGCAGCTCTCATAAGGTATCAGGCTCTGCAGCTTCATTCGCATTGCACTGCCTGCCTTTTGCACAAGGCAGCTCTCATAAGGTATCAGGCTCCGGAAGCTTCATGCGCGAGTGACAAGCCGGTCAGACACCGACTTTGCCGTTCATTGGTTCACGCTCTGCGCCGACTCAGATCAGTTCAATTCATGTTCACGTTTTATCTGCCACTTTCGTTCCTTGCGAAACCTTTTTCCGTTGCCGCGGGGTTTTTTGTCGGTCCCCTGGTGGAATTCCCTCGGTTTGGTTTTGTGTGCTCGGGTTTTTCGTCCTTGAAAATGTTTTGCTGTTGCCGGGGGTTTTTGGAGGTCCCCTGGTGGAATTCCCTCTGCTTGGTTTTGTGCGCCCGGTTTTTTGTCCTTGAAATTCTTTTGCTGTTGCCGCGGGGTTTTTGGCGGCCCCCTGGTGGAATTCCCTCTGTGTGGTTCGTGTCCGCCCCACCGGGGCCTTGTGTGTGTGTGTGAGCCGTCCTGGAACACGGACGTTAAGCAGGGGAGTGCGGCATGACTGAGGGACCGCACTCAACGAAGCTACCTCAGTCATGGGATATCGGATCTGATCAATCCGACGCACCTGCCTATTTCCTTTTGCGGTTTCTGTTTGTCGCTGTTGCTTCCTGTTCGGCGTCGACGTTGCGACCTGTTGATTTGCATTTGCATTCGAGCATTTTTACTGACTGCGGTTTTCATCTCGGCTAGTGAAGCCTCTCGAGATAAGTGTGTGTGTGTGTTTGTAGTTTATTGGGGTCTCCAGGCCAGGCGTGCAGTTTGTTCACGGTTTACTCCCAAACCACCAACAAAACCACTGATTACACGCAAGCTGAGTTTGGTGGAAAGTAATGTTTTCGCAGGCAGGAAATCTGAGAGATCTAGAGATTTGGAGGTAAGCTTAGCAGAATAAGCTATATGTGTTGGGCCTGTGAGGAAGATGCGGGATGGTTTGATTTTGTTTGGTGCGGCAGATGAATGTGGAACTGTCTAATGGCGACGAAGCCTTGCAAACTTGAAAAGGACACCAGCCATGTGCAACGCTTCCTGATTGTGACGAAACCTTGTAGACATGATCCTTCATGGAATCTCAACACGCCTGCGAGTAGTGACAGCTATTGCGAGATCGGAGTTTGCTTGGTCAAGGCACAAATGAGGAGCACGAGCTAGTTTGGCTTTGTGCCGACATAACTTGTTTATGCGCACGCTGTATGCAGACACGGGAGTAGTATCATTCGCAAGCCGGATTTTCCATGTTGCACACCCTAGAAACAAGTGCACGCCCGATCACTAGCCTAATGCTTATCACTGCGTAGATGCGGCTCGTGGCTCCTGGCCTCTTGAAACCAAACCAAAAGCCGCAGCAGCCTCAGACCAACTTAGGCCATCTGGCTATTCGTCAAAATGTGCACTGTGGCGCCCTTCTAGGTTGGGGCCTGCTCTCGAAAAGACGCGAAAAGGGGGACTTTGATTACTCAGGTGTTTTGGGTTGTGTTCCAAGCCCGTGAAAGGAACTCACCTTGCGGCCCCCGTTTTCCTTTTGGTTCATTGGCACAGAAGTGAGGCGAAAGCATCCCATTGCAAGCCTTGGACTGGGCGACGGCGAGGCCTTAACGCAGATGCAGAACGCTCCTCTGGAGCTGGCGAACCTCAGGTTGCTTCCCCCCTGCCTCCCAGTTTGGTCAGTTTGGCTTGCAATCTAACATATCCAAAGCTCTTTGCAGAGGAATCTCTTTTGGTGTGCCAGGTTCACTTGCAGGAGAGCACTTCTATTTGCCCTTTTGGCAGATTGAAGCATATCCATGTCTGGGAGACACAAAGCTGAAGCTCCCTCTTGCTGTTCCGAATTTCAGAAGCACCCAGTTGTAATTTGTGATCAAGTAAGATCCATAGCCCAATTGATAGTCTGAGCTTGTTGGGTGCGTCCGATTGACCTGTAGGGCGAGAATGGGAGAAGGGTGTTCCGGGGCCTGCACAATCTTTTGCTCGCCTTTTAGCCAGGGCGATTCGTCTGACGCTATCGAGTCTTTCCCCACAAACAGCAATAGCCAATGGCCTAATATCCATACATTTTGGTGATTGCTTCGAACAACAATGCTAGTTCAATTGTTCGGGGTTGAACTTTCTCAGTTCAAATTCGGGCCACTGCCCCTCTGTAGTCTTGTTTCTTGAAGAGGGTGTGTGCCTGAGAAGACGTGCATGCAGAAGCAGTTTGATGCGAAGATTCTGTGCTATTGCTTGCTGTTCTTTGCATTAACGACACATCTAAATCACTGCGAAGAAGCAACGACAAAGACATGCACGGTATACGCTTTGTTCTGTGAAAGCGTCTTTTCCTGTCGAACCCGTGGCTGGCTTGCTCTATGATGCAGCTTCAGGATTCCAAGGCGTCGTACATACCAAACCGTGTGCTTTGAAGGTTCCGTTTGGCAACAGCCGGCAGGCACCAAGAGTTGTTTCATACGTTTTCTTTCACCACGGCAATTGTCCTTTCACTTTTTCACAGGTTTGCTCGGATCCGGAGGGATTTCGTCTGGGGGAAGGTGTTGCGGGTTGTTCCATTTTGCAGTGGCAAGTTTCACGTATGCCTTTATGTCAAAGATTGGGACCTCTCCAAATCACAAGCTTCAGGTCGGTTTCCTTCTGGAAGGGTGACCTGCAGTCACCTGCAGGTAGGGATTCCTGTGTGTTGACGCAAACACCCATATGGTTGAACCATGCTTGCGGTCCACACATGACTTGCTCGCCAGGCCCTATGGCTCATCCATAAGGGGCCTTAGTGGCAGTCGAAGCACTGCACCGCGTGCATAGTACCCCGGCAGTAGACCAGATTGTTCAAAGCAGTGAGCTGAAAAGCAGATTCGGTGAATCTGTGACCTCGGACAGAAGCTTGGACGCACTGAAAGCACGCAGTAAATCCTTAAACACATCCATAGACCTTAGAGGTCTCTGATCAATTTCCCTGGAAGCCGGCATTGCTGAATACCAGAGGCGGGGTACATGATGAATCGTGATTGTCAATGCTGGCCACCTGTGTGTATGCAACCTGGTCAATGTTTCATTTGCAGGGTCAACTTGTTCGCCATTCACAAAGTTATCCATCACCAGCTGGTTAGATAGCTCGCTTCAAGCAATGGGCTGGGCAGAGAATTGAAAACAAAAAGGCGAGAGTGTCCTGACCACCTATTCGGTTTCAATAAATTGATAGCTGGTTGCAGCCATTGCGCGATGTTTGTCTTGGTTCTGCTGGGGAATCGCTTATGGCTGATGCTTTGCATCGCTCACAATCACGAGTCCCATTCAGTGCCCTTGCCCCATGGACTTATTTGTGCATAGACAATGGACTTGGCCCGTTCAGAAATATCAGTAGCTTAGTAAGAATTCCTTTCTTGCCGGTTTCCCCCGAATCAGCCTACCGGATCAAAGACAAGGCCCTTTCCTGGCGTGCTGCAAGCCCACCTAGGCGCCCACACAATTTGTCAACTGCGTCTCGGCCACTTGAGGGATATTCCTGTGAGGCAATGAGCACCATCCCACCGCCCAGCTACGATGAAGTGTCCTGGGCGCGGGCCCGAGTCGGCAAACCGCCGAAGAGTTGGCTTCCAGCTGGCTGAACATCCGAAACGCATCCATTCGTTGGAAGGCAAGGTGCCCTATCCCAGTCACCCAGTGGTGCCCCGTTTTTTTTCTTCTTCTTTTTTTGGGGAGGGTTCGCGTTTGAAGGCAACAAACTAAAAAAGGATGCCCTTTGTTCTCATGGCCACTGGGCATCTGAGCCATAGTCGGGAATGTCCATTTCACCTTGGCATTCGCTTCGATGCCTCCTCTGCCAGCTGCCAGTTCCACACTAGCCCTGCATGAAATGTACACTGGAACCACTGAGCAAGAACTGTCCACAGTACAAGTTCCCTGCTGCAGGTGGTGTCCCTCTCAAGTAGCACAACTTTGCGTTGGTAGGGAAGCCTCGAATTGTTATTCGGCAGTTTTTGAGGATGCTGGCTTGGAGGGACTGGCCACAAACATAAGAGCTCAATCCGCCTTAAAGATCACTAACTCCTGGCGTTTGTGGCAGGCTTTGCGCTTTCAGGCGTGACACAGACGCGTGCCAGAACCCTTCGAAACAAGACCCCCACCTTGGAAATTCGGGGCAGAGCCTGCAGAATATCGGGACCGCTGGGCTAGGGTACCCTCGTGTTGCTAATTATTTTGTATTGGGGTTGGTAGTTGCAATACGACTTGCGTCACATAATGGCACAGAGCTTATGATTGTTTAGCTATTCCTTGGTGAGATTGTGCAGGAAGAACGTCAATCAATCAGCGTGAGAGGGCGGCAACTAAGTTGCCCCCTTCGCACATTGCTCGCATCAGTTTGCCCTTCTCCTGGTGGTCCAATTGAAAGATCGTGACACATGTACAGGGCCGTCCGCGCCTTGTTTTGCCAAGTGTGCATCCATTGATGCATATCACTGCGGAATTTCAGCGCAAGGTTAGAGAGCTGGTAGACCGCTGGGCGAAATCATCATGACTTTCCGAGGGTGCGGCCTTGCAAATCCAGGTGGAGGTGTATGTGTGTGTGTGTGTGTGAGTGCGTGAGTGCGTGCGTGCGTGCGTGCGTGCGTGCGTGCGTGGGTGTGTGTGTGTGTTTCCCCCCCAAAGAATGGTTTTCCAAAAAACATGGTAACCAGTACTTGCAAATCCCTAAAAATTGTGGCCCCACAAAAATGACTGAACCCTTTGGAGCTTCCCCTCCAAAAATGGTTGAACCCAAGGGAAGTTCCAAAGGGGAGCGACGTCCAAAACGTGTCGCAGGCCTCCTACCTGGCGCTGAAGTGGTTGGATCCATTGGCCGAAAGCCCAGGGTGACCAGGGTGTGGTGACTGGTTTCGTGGATGCTGCCGTTTTCGGGGTGGCAATGGAAACCAAATGGGAACCACAATGGGAACCACTCGTTTTTAGGGTTCCAGTTAGAGAGTCCGATTGTCGAACCACTCATTTGTAGGGTTCCGGCATTTGGAGAGTCCAATTGTCAAACAGTCGGACCAGTCCGCAAGAAGGGCCCTAGTGTTGACACATGACACGCCCTTGTGCAGGAATTTGGAAGCCCAGAAGAATAAGCCGAAACCTGAGCTTTGTAGCGGGGCACTCCAAAGGGGAAGGATCCTGGCTCAAGAGCCAGGAGCATTCATTCTGTTCTCCCTTCAAGCAAGTGGCTGGGGCCGATTCTCAGGAGAGGTTTGTGGCGATTCAAAGCATGCCAGCATGAGTTGCTGAATAGCGGCTAGCTCCAACCCCCTCGTCGGTTCCCAAACAGATGTCCCAAGGTT